TCAACAGGTACCCACGAGTACTTCACCTGTTACTGGTAATATATCACCTCCTGGTAGTAGATTACCCTCCACGACCGCACAGCTAGATCCTACATTTATAGAACAACCAGAGGAAATAAATACGACACCAATTGTTACCAATTATACCGCTGGTGGACAACAGTTACCGACTATCAATTCACCTGCTGATATTTATAAACATTTCTCACGTAAAAGTTGTGAAGGAGGATTAGGAGTTACTGCCCCTAGACATAGTGAACCATTCTCGGACTCTGATCCTACCGACGATTCAAGTTCAACCAGTATGGATGGAGAATACATTCGTGCGCTAACTGAGCTAACTCAAAAGCTCCTAAATAAAGACGTAAACATAAACAAATTCCACGGTTATGAAAATGAGGATATAAACCGATGGTTTGAGAAATTGGAACTAGTTCTGGACTCTAAAGGAATCAGGCTGGATGTCCCTGCCGCAAGAACACAGCTTATTAACAATCTTGCTGGACCAGCGGAAACGTTTATGTTTGAGTTGCCACCAGACGAGCGTAGAGACTATGACACTTTAAAACGAGCCCTGGTGAAACGTTACTCTACCAAGGACCGCGCATGGGTTAAACGACGTCGTTTAGTTGCTCGCCGTCAAGGTCCGAATGAATTACTATCCGATTATATCAATGAGATGCATGAACTGTTCAGTGGACTTAATATGGCTGAAGTGGACAAAGTGACATATTTCACAGAAGGATTACTGCAACCCTTAAAGTCCAAAGTCCTAGAGCGAATGCCGGAAACACTCTTGCAAGCAGAAGAAGTGGCTAGAACAGTCGACTCAATATCACAGCAAGAGACTAGCGCCAAGGACAGCAGCCAAATTGAACGCCTAATTGAAGCAATTACCCGCAGTCAACAGGTACCTGCTCAAGCAACAGGTACTAACGCTTCACTCAGTACTTCACAACAACAGACACTTCAAGCACAAATGGAAACAATAACACAGAAGCTAAGTGAACTTACACCTACAGTTACGAAGTCAGATAAAGTTGCCGCTTATTCAGAGCCACAGGTGGATTTCCACAGTAAGATTGATGACCTTACTAAACTTGTGAAACACATGGAAGGTAACTTTCAGGATCAAATTGCCAGTTTGGATAAGAGGATGGACGCACGCATCACTGGCCTCGCACAACGTCAGCGGGAGACACGTAACACTAGGGAGCGATCAAGAGATGGCCGACCCTGCTGTTATGTGTGTGGTTTGCCTGGCCATTATCAAAATAGTTGTCCACGACGGAACAACCGTGAACGTGGCCGAACGCCAGTGCCCAGGTACGCGTTGCCTGCTCCTGATAACTATACTCAATACTCAAGTGGCCCTCAAGCACGACAGCGAGCCTTACCACCGCCACCACATCAGAGTCGAATAGCTGCCTTTCAGGACAGTACTCCAACCTCTTCCGACCATCCGGAGTTGCCTATATACGAATCTCCCAATTATGACTCAGTTGATTGGGATTATTATTATGATGATGCCATACTAGAAGCCACGACGAACAATTACTTTAACAGTCACCACGAACAAGACTTTAACGATGATGACTTCTATGGAGAGTGGGATTATTGTTACGATTATGAATCAGAATCCCAGACTTACGATTATGCAGATGATTGGGATCAAGTATATGATGAACCAAACATTCAGCAACCAATTCTTTCCACACTTATAGAAGAAGACCTAGGCAATACAGCAACTGCTCACCTGCCATACTTAGAAACAGATGATTTGCTGCCTTTGACTGATGACGAATATCCATCTGAAGACGAAACTGAAAAAGGGGATGAGTTTGATCTACCAGCTCCAGTTCCTTATCCGCTGTTGCCCGCAATAACCATGCACGATGACACTGCTGTCTCTGGAATTTTAAGGTACCTTACAAGGCCTGATCAAACTACAAAATCAGACTTGGCCTACCCACCAGCTCCAGTTGATGTCTCACCGCCTCCATATCCAGGAAACGTTGGCATGTATCTGACTCAGTTCGTTGGAACCAACTATCCCAAACCAGAGTTAGCAGGTTACAATAAAGTAGATCTTAAAATGGCTCAGCCACCACAGACCAAAGAGGTAAAGCAGAAGTCAACAGCCATTGCTTATAGTACCCTGAACGCTGATAACCACGTTACAGGAGATTCCAGCCGATCTCGCCATGAAGACCTTCCCACAGAAAGCCCAACCGCTATGCACTCTGGGGAGAAGACGAGCAACTCAGTTTCGGCTCAAAATGTCAGAGAAATGGTCACGACTCAAGTCAGTAAACAGGTGAAACCCTTAACCAATCAGGAAACAGACAGAACTACCAAGCTAGAACAGAACTACCATGTAGCTCCCAAAGCGATACCGAGTGACCAATCAAGTTTCCCTTGCTCTGAGATTAGACAGTCAAATCCTGATACTGGACAACCAGGTAGTAACCACTCTCTACGAGCGCAGATAGTTTCAACAGAGCCGAAAACCAAAAGAGCAACTCATTCTCAGCTTCATAATGATTACCAGCAAGAAATTAAGGACGAGCTTACAAAAGTTATAAAGGATATGGAAGGAAATCTATTGAACAAGATTACAATTTTGGAACGACGCATGGAAGGAAACTTGAGACACAGTAAGGTACAACCATGGAAAAGGACTTGCTTTTATTGTGGAATGGTTGGCCACATTCAGATCAACTGCCCCCATCGTAGTTGCCAACAAGGGTCCTATAATTATAATGCACGTCATGAGCCTGAGCGAATCCCGCATCAAACCACTACGTTTCAGCCGACATACACATCCAGGGACAAACCTCGATGCCAAGATTCAGGAGAGGAGCCATATTACGTCAACCACTACTCGACAAAAGTTGGAGTTATCCTGGACCAACCAAAGGAAGTACTTAAATTGGGCCACCTATACTCAGTTGCAGCAAACAGCTTCAAGCCAACAAGTTCCCAGATACCCAATGTGCCACCCGACTGCACAAATGTTTTAAATTCCCCGGAACAAGAGAAACCTAAGTACCAGCAGAATACCCTTATTTCCTCTAGTCAAACGCCTGGTGAAAGAATCCGCAACCAACAAGTCGCAACAAGTTGTACAGAAAAGTATCCGCCTCAAGCATCGCAGTCCAGCAAGACGCCCACTATTAGGAAAAACGCGGTGAAGCTTCAGAAGACAGGCAAGTCAGCAGCATTGCAGCTCAAGATTCCATTTATGTTTGAGAAGTTTATTTCCTGGTTCATGCTACTAGTGCTCTTTCACCTGTGTTTTGCTTCACAAGCTCATAATTTACCTCAAGTGCAACCAACAACTCAAGAGCTCCACAACATGCACGACTACCGCCAGTCTGCAGAGAAAGAATTGTTTCCATCTCCTAAAAATGATGGCAGATTGACGACCGAAACTCATACCCATAATTGGCATCAACCAGTGTCTTCCACAAAGTTCAAGCAAAATTTTCCGTTGCTGAATGATGACCCTCTCGACGACTTAATACCGAAGGATCTCACCAGTAAATGACAATGGCCATCCACTAACAGAGAGCACGACTTTAAGAAGAGGAAATAGTTAGTGTGTAATTTCTAAAAGTCCCAGAGATATGAGATAGAATAACGAATACACAGTTGAGTAATATAGAATCAATTAAGATAAGTCCGTCCAAGCCAGAGAGAAGGCTCGAATAAGAAGAAACATAATAAGAAGTTAATAAGAATCGAAGAATCGAGAATTGAGAAGTTCTAAATGAGATTTTCAGGTAGCTTTAAGTGTGAGAGTTTCAAGCTAAGAAACGAGCGCTTGAAACGTATATAATAACCTTTTAGTAGCTTCACTGAGTAAGAATGCATGTAAGTAATTGTCCTCAAAAGGCGCATATTTCGAGGTACGTTAATCTTTATATAGATTAGCTTTTATTTTCATTGAACCCCCGAGGCCACTATATTTAGGCTAGTTCGGTTTATGCCGCGGTTCAGGCACAAAAAACAAATACAAAATTTTCAAAAACCAGAAAATCAAATGTAAAATTTCAACATACACGTAAGTTTTAATATTCTAATTCGCTGAGCATTTTTCTTAAGTTTTCTCGTATATTGTTGAATTGTTTTCCTTTTCCTCTAATCAGCTGAGGACAGCTGAGACTTAAGGTGGGAGGAATGTGAAGAGATAATTTATTGTTATTCAGTTATTTTGCTTTCGCTGATAAAAATGTGAAAAGCCAATGTAGAAATCATGTATTCTTTAGTCTTAACTTCCTTAAGCCGAAAACAATTAGTTGATTTATTGAGCGTAAACTTATTTGTCAAGTCATAATTGTATTTAGTCTTCAAACTGTAATCAACCTGTAAGACGCCGTTATCCACCTGTGTAGCTTTTGGAAGTAATTAATGTTTCAAAACAAGCTTAGGTTTCCACCAATAGTCTTGTAGAAATGATTGTTGTGCTCTGTAATTTGACTCGTTGAGTTGTGATGTAATCTGTATCGCTTCGCTAGCTTAGGCTTAAATGCGAGTGCTTTGTAGGAGCTTCTTTGGTTACATCCAGGTCCATCTAGTCTTGGTTACATTTTGGTTGGTTATGTTCCTGACTCTACCCGCAGTATAGTCTTGGATTAAACCTCTACATTGGAGCCAAGTTCTGTTGTAATCATTGTCTCAAGGGTATTCAGCAGGCGTAAGAGATTCCGTGCCTTCCCGCAGCCAGCGAGTGTCCCCAGGAAAAGGCCTTTCCCAGAGAGTTCTAGAGTTTTTCCCCGTCCGTCAGTTTACCCTTTTGTGAAGGCAAAACCTGTTTTCACATTACAAAGCGAAACAAAAATTGAGCCTGATCTCAGGTTATTCTTCACGTTGTTGTTCCTTTGCCGCAGAGTTGTTTGGCTTCGATCTCTAAGAATGTTTTATTGGTTACTGAACTATGAACCGTTTAGCTAACGTCTTCTTCTTCTTCTTCTTTTGTTTATTTTTTCATAAGGTATACATCCGCTATTCGGTGTGATGTCACTCTTCCTCAAAAGTCTACTCCAGATTGCAAGACCGTTAGAAAAGCTGCCCTTGCTGAAAACAAGAAGACGTGGACTTTAAAACATGATCCAGATGTGTATGGCTTCGCTCGTTTGAACATGACCCCAACGCAGCTCGCCGCTATTGTTTTTAAGGACTCTTTTACTAGATACTACACTACAGCATACACTCAGACCCTGGAGACAAATGAGAAAGGTTTGACACAGTATATCAAACAGACCTTTGGGCAGCCAATCGATGACTTGTCAGAATATCTCGCGATGTCTGAGTTTTTCCAGACCGTACTGGAGCCTCTTGTGGGGGTAAGTTAACTGTGTTCATGTTTTCTTTGGCTATCCATTATTTTCTTTCCCTGGAAGGGGAGGGGGAGGGGTGAGCCGCTGAGTGTTTAAAACCCTGACCCTGTTTAGGACAAGAAAATCCCAAAATACGTATCCTGTTTAGGACAAACGACAAAATGAACGCCGTCTTGTTTTAGTCATTTATTGGCAATTGCAATTAAGAAAAGTCATGTTATAGTCATTGCTTTTGAAGACTTGGAGTACAAACAAATTTCATCAAACACTATCAACTCGATCGTGCAGGCAATACTCTGTTCCTGTTTATAATTAGGATAGACTGTAACTGGTATCCGGATAGGGGTAGGTGGGCAGTTTTCCAGAAACGTATAATGATCTGACTGTCTTGGATTGCCTTACATGGGGTGACTTAATTATATATGGAGATACGATCTGATCACGGGTGAAGAAAATAAAAGGTCAAGCAACCTCTATTTACCTATATGTCGTTACAGGAATACGCCACGCTAGCTTCAAGGCACGAAGCTTTTATTAACGACAAGACAAAATGGATAAGCGACAAATACTTCACCCAGCAACGCCTTGCTGGGACTAACCCAATGTCACTCCAACGCGTGACAGTTCACGAACGAGGTAAGGCTGGCGGGAAATGCTTAGTACCGGCGGCGGGGGGAGGGGGGAGTGGAGTGGAGTGGAGTGGATAGGGTGGTGATCAAAAACGTTTAATACGGGGGGGCACTGTCCCGAGGTTCAACCCCTTACCCTTTTATATTCCATTTTTGACAGAAAAGGTACCCCTTTTGTTGGTAACTTCTTTAAAAAATCTAATTTAGAGCTCCGCATACCTTTTAAGTGTTGTGAATGCTCCGTTTTTAAACTATGAATAAATCCCAAAACCATGACGTTTTGTCGATCTTTTCAAGGCCATAAAACGCATATGTTAGCCCATTTTTACAGAAAGAAATGACAGATTTCCCTACCCTTTTATATACTTCAATGAGTGAAATCCCTACCCTTTCTTATACCTGAAGCCTGAAGAGGGTACCCCTTTCGGGCGGAGCCTCGCCGTTTAGGCCATTATAGGTAGCCCCCCACCCCCTCCCCCAAGTGCTTAGTTTATAAAAGTATTTCAGTTGAAGTAATATTTGTCAGCAAATCTTATTAAGTTCAATCAATGCCCTGTCCAAAACTTTTGAACATGAATGGATCAAAGAATTCTAAATTCTCTACCGTATTAGAATAATTAAAATCCTTGTTTCTCTCAAGAAGGTCACATGCACAGTCTTTGAAATATGAATAAATGACAAAACCAGAATGTTTTTCTCGACTTTTTCACAGCCATAAAGACTCATTAAACGCATGTGTTAGCCTTTTGGAGCCTTTTTATTGATTTATTTTATTAATATTGAATCGCGTTTGTTTGAGTGAAGACAAAAAAAAACTTTGAAAAATATAGTTTTTAAGGGATGTGCTTTTAGCTTGGTCACGTTTTTCAGCAAACTTTACACATAACTGTTCCATTCTGGGGCCAATAGAAAACCCAGTCAACTTATGGCGAACACAAAAATCTGCTCAAATTTTTCTTTTAGGTCTATCCTATTAGGGATTGGAGCTTTAGCAACGACGACGGCGACGGCAACGAGAACGTCAAAAAAAGAAATTGTAGTTATTTAAGTAAAACAACAACGTTTTACGCGCATCACACTTTTTTGTACATTTCTTTGTCGTCGCTGCAAGACTACGACTTGAAAGTGCTTAATTTGAACCTTTTAATTTTTGTTTCTTTTCCTAAACTTGGCTGCGTTCCCAAGAAATCAACTCCTGGAAAATTCTCCTACATTTGACATTTTCAGCGAATTGGAATAAATGCAAGAAATTTTGAAAAAACGTGAATTCATTTTACAAGTGACGTTTATTGCTGCCGTCGCCGTCGTTTATGGTAAAGCTACATATTGACTCTAGAAATCGTAACCTGGCTGGTAAATTCAGGGCTGCTGCCGAGGAGTATCATGCATTAAAACGAGTTGTTTGCTGTAAACATAAGACTTTTAGCTTGCGTTGATGGGAGAGTGTGTTTGGGGCATATTTTTTCTTAATCATCAAGTCCCTTCCTTAACAAAGGATGATTCGTTTTAGTGTCATAGAGATTATTAGACTAGTGTACCTAATAGGTAAAAGTGTGCTGCCTCTGTGTCAATTTTTATCGCCAGATTAAGTTTGCAATCTCGCGGTCAGCTAGCACGCGCAATTGGAATACCTCATGGTCTTCATGTACAGCGTTTGTGATGCAGTTTGTTAGCCAAGTGGTTTAGACGTTTTACTCTGGTTTATTTCAAACTTATCTTCTAAAATTATTGTAAAATTATAATTTGATAAACTGACCACGGTTGTAGAAGATAATTAAAAGGAATTTATAAAAAACAGGATGTTAAAAGAATTTAGCAGACGTAAGCATGAAGGTAACCACTAGCCGTGTGAAGAAATCTTGGCTACTATAACTTTGCTACTATATATACCGTGAAAGAGAAATTCATTACAGACAAATTAACAATAATAATAATAATAATAATAATAATAATAATAACATTTATTTATACCGCGCAAATTCAACTATACAGTTTTTAAATGCGCCTTACAATTAATAATTACACGAATGAATAATTATCTAGTCTATAAATTACAACATTATATCGGAAAGGCTTTTTCAAAAAGGTGAGTCCTCAAATTGCGCTTAAAAACTTCAAAATCTGAGGTGCATCTAAGATCTAACGGAAGATTATTCCACAGTTTTGGTGTGGCGGCTACAAAGGCAAGGTCACCAAGAGTAGGGAGAGTCCTGAAGTTTGGATATGAAAGCAAATATTTGTTATTTGATCTGAGGCTGCAGGAAGAATTAGGTTTAAAGTTTACGAGAGATGATAAATAATTAGGAGCTGTTCCATGGATTGCTTTGTGAGTGATTATAATAATCTTAAATTCTATTCTAAACGTATACAGGCAGCCAGTGTAATTCGTATAATATTGGTGTAATATGGTAATACCGTGGTGCTAGATATAGAACTCTTGGAGCTGCGTTTTGAACACGCTGCAGTTTAGTGAGGGCGCAGTGGGGTTGTCCGGATAAAAGCGAATTACAATAGTCCAATCTGCTTGTGATGAAAGCGTGGATTAATTTCTCGGCAAATTCTATGCTTAAATATTTTCTGAGCGTCATCACTCAGACGCCTATGACACTCTCTAACTTATGGTCGTAGTAATGTTTGTTTTTTTCAAATGCTCCAGGCTTAGAGCAATTGCAGCTTTTGCCCTTATACATGAGCAATGCCCTCTTGCGTCTTAATATCTATTAAGTACACTTGAGCACTTAAATTTGTTAGACTAGAAGACTCATTATCAAACGTTTGCAAGAGCAAAAGTCACGAATATGTCTACACCAAGAGAGGATAAAGGGGACAGAGAAGGCATCCCCCATACACACCCTATTCCATAGGTGATTCGTCTCGAGTTATTTTAAGACCACAGATCCCGAGGGGGATTAGACAACAGCCAATCACATAGCGCGAATGTGTTCCGCGTGGATGACACACGCTTAGAGCCACGTGTCCTTCACGAATTGACGCTGAAAAAGATAGCGGAAGACGCGGAGAGCGATATTGCTTTTGTCAACGAAAACGACTAAAGCGAGATTTCTGCTAAAGCTATATCAGCGAAACGGAAATTAAAAAAAGAATCGCCCTTCATGTCTTGTATAGGGCTAACAGTACAGCAGGGAAATCCTTAACACACTGAATATTCTCTCAGGATCATTTACAATTTACAGTTTGAGGAAAGCAATTTCTGGTTTGATATTTATTCTTTTATTCAACAAAAATAACACTTGGCGTCCTACTTGCTTTATTGTACAAATGACCGGTTTCAATAGACCGGCGAAATTTCTCATTTTATTAAAGCAAAGAGGTTATGACAAATTTGAGTTAAACTGATTTCACGGGTTGTCAAAGAGTCCAGCGATTCCCTTTTCCCAGGTGAGCGCCGACTCATTTCGCTTCAATATTCAGAAATGCACTCGATCTGTTTACGCTTTCATTGCCTTTCGCCCGACATGTTTTGCACGGCGTTTAGTCATGCAAAACCTCCACGAAACATCCACGCAGCGTGCGAGGTAACTTTATATCGGTTCTAAAAATAACTCGAGACGAATTACCTATGGAATAGGGTGTGTATGGGGGATGCCTTCTCTGCCCCCTTTATCCTCTCTCTCTTGGTCTACACTTAAGAAGTCACTGTGTTAAAACTCTACTGAACAAAGCTGAACTGAACTCAACAAGTCATCGCAGTTGCGAATATAATTACTATATATCATTCTTTATTTTTTCATATCATTCCAAGTTCCTGCAGTAGGTTTGGATTGGAGCAAACTGAAGGAAACGCTAAACCCTAACTTTGACTGGGATGCCGCTGTACAAGCTGTTCTTTCAAGACGTTACACTTTGAAAAAGGTATGAGGTCTCCTCAACAGTCTGTTCATATATAGTTAGTCCACAGATCGATAGTTAATAGATTGGAATGGTTATGAGTTCCGTCAGAGTTTGTTAATGTTTTAGAGGATATGGTACAGTAGCGACGCTTAATTACTAGCCGCTGTTCGGAAAATGAACCCGCGCTCCTCCCACGAACAGGGGAGGACCGAGAGAGCGGCGAAAATCTAGCCTAACGTGGAGGTGCAAAAAGTTTAATAGCAATCCTATTACTTTTATCTTACTGACAAATAAAAAACGTCACATTGGTATACTCCGTCATAATCAGTTGTGCACAGAAGGCAAACGATTTTAATCCTTTAATCCCTTGTACTTAAGAGTACCATTATGACAGATTTCCCGAAAATTACGGCTGGCTGAAAGCATCGATGTTTTTTACATTTAATGACTGTGAAGCAAAACAATCAATTCGTGGCAATTAAAAGCAGCGGGGGAAGATGGTGAATGCCAACTGGCGTTTGGGTGCGATGGATCAAACGAGGGATTTATTGGAAAGAAGGCTAAAGCCAGTTTGACTTCTGGTGGTAACGGTGTGCAACGGAGCTTTTTATTTACTTGATATCTTGCTTACAATAGGATTAACCACTCTTAAAAGAGAAAACCACTTGATATTTTTTATTATATATTATCATTTATTATATAAACTGCAGTGTTTTACAAGGATTTCTACCTCATAGAAATGTGGTATCTGAACACACGTAAAAATACGATATTTTTACATGTGAAGATATCGATAATTTCACTGACATCAGGTTTGTCTCTTAAATTGTAGTTAAATTCGTTGGTGTATAATCGAAACATCTTCGGGTCTTCCTCGAAATTGCTCGGCAATCTTCGGAAATCTTCGGACATTTTCGGAAATTCTCGGAAAATGTTCGGGAACGTTCGTCTGGTCTTCGGGACCATTTGAAAAATCTTCGGAAATCTTCGTAAGGTGGTCGGAAATCTTCGGAAAATCATCAAAAACGCCGTCATCAGTATGTTTATACAATAAAAAGAATATTACACGTTAGCTCGAAGATATGAATTTTATGTTCTCGTGGCAAGAACAATATCTCACGAGTGAGCGCAGCGAACGAGTGAGATATTGCTCTTGCCACGAGAACATAAAATTCATATCTTCTCGCCACCGTGTAATATTCTCTATTTATTTTGTTTTTCAGGCCGTAGATCAAGGAAGAATCTATGCCCTTCGTTACGAACTGTGCGACGGGTTGGCGAGATCACCGGATCTTACAGACAAAGATCCTCGACGCGAAATGTGGAACTTTTTCTCTCCTATAGCTCTGTTCGCATCTAAGCCTATTAGCAAGAGAAAAAGCGAACTTCTTCCTGTGGCTATTCAAATGGATTTTACACCTGGTATATATGATTCAACCTTTTCTCGGTCGACAAAAATCTACACCAAAAACAATTGAAACTTGATTTTACAACCCGTTTAGGTTAAATACTTCAATGTATTAGACAGCGAGTGGTTGCCCTTCTTTTCTCAGAGTCACGTGCATCGAGTGCAAAAAAGAGGCAAATTAATGGTAGAAAGAGGAGAGATAAGGGCAGAGAGCGGAAAAAGGGTGCTTAGTTTTTCTTCGCAGGGGCATCCGCCTTAATTCCTCAGAACTGTTTTTAACAAAGACGCTCCGCCCCAAGTTCGATTCCAACCCCCTCAAGTTATTTGGTAGAATAGTGCCCCTTTCGTATATCTTCTATTGAAAAATGGTACCCTTCCACATAACCTGCTTAGAAATTTGCGTCCCTTTCAACCTTTTGTAAATACGCTCTCCTTAAGATATGAATAACCTCAAACCAGAACGTTTTCTCGATTTTTTTTTTTTTTTAGCGCCATAAAATGCATCTACTAGTCTTTTAGGGCCTTTTTACGGACCAAACTGACATAATTCCCTACCCTACCCACAAGAGGTATCCCTTTCTGGCGTAGCCTAACCGTATAGCCCATTAAAGGGAGTAATCCCCCCCCGGTTTAGCAATCTGTGCCAGCAACGCTGCCTCTCATTGACATTAGTGATATCAGTGTCATTGTTCATGTCCAGAGATGTCAACTGGTAACCTGGTGTTTGTAAACTTTGCTTAGATTCAGCAGTTTACACTCCAAATGACGGAGACAATTGGATGATGGCCAAGCTCAACGTTCAAGTAACTGACATAGGATATGCTCAGATTGTGGAGCACCTCGGAAGGGTATGATCAATTTTCAACAAGTTACAGTCAATCTCGTCGCAGCAAAACATTACAGTCAAACCAGGTCAAGCGTTCCCGTCGCTAACAAACTAATGAATTCATTAATGGAAAAATGATTTCGTTTGTTGATTCAATAATCCATTCATAAAATGAATAATCCAACGGTCAAATTGTACCTCGATTCAATAATCAAATGTTGATTTGGTTTATGAACAAAATCTACCTGTTCTTTATTCTTGTCTGTTGTGTTCAATCGTATTTGCTTCCCTTTTCCTGCCGTTTACGATTGCGTTTTTCATTGCCTTTAATCAAAATAACAGCTAAAATAGACAGACCGCAAACGCAAAGAAACTGACAAAGGGATCGAAATCCACCAATCACCGCACATACACTGACCTCAGTTTGACCGTCGTGTTTTCTAAGAGGTCAGGCCTTGGTCTGTTGCACTGATTATTGGCAGCAAACTGGCGTACATGTAACAGTTTGTTTGGGTTTGAACTTCAGAACTCGCCAGCACTCGACTCTCAGAAAAAAAAGAGGAAAAAGCAAAATTCTGAGGTCAACTAGTGGAAAGTGTAATTTTTCAAAAAACAGTAATCGAATCAACATTCGATTATGGAATCGAGGCTAAATATGACTATTGGATTGTTCATTTTATGAATGGATTATTGAATCAACAAACGAAATCATTTTTCCGGGAATGAATTCATTAGTTCGTTAGCGACGGGAACGCTTGACCTGGTTTGACTGTAATTGTATTTCGCAAGAGATAGTATGTCAGTAAGTTAGCCATCCGTGGACACCAATTTCATTTTTGCCTTACACGCACGCTTGCAGATCGAAGAAAACAAGCATTTCCGAGTACAAAGCTTTTTAATGTCCAATTTATAGTGTCTTAGAGAGTGTTAAAAGGGTGTATTTTATGTATTTATTTCTTTTTTAGGTCCACTTTATGATTGAGCCATTCTGCGTAATTCTTAAAAGGACTCTGTCAAAACAACATCCACTGAACCAAATCCTCAGGTTTCACTGCAGAGAGCTGACTGTTCCAAATACGTTTGGAGTTCCCAACCTTGTAAACGAAAACGGACTCACAGACCAACTGTTTGCATATGGAAACAAGGGGTCATTCAGAATGCTTAAAGACACATACCCTTTATCTACTTGGAAAATAACCGACTACCGAGCCAATATTAAGGTACGTCAGTAGAACTCGCCTGTGAATGAAGCTTTTGCTACATTTTTTTATATATTTTGCATAAAGTTCGTATCAAGAATTCCCTTTGACTCGAAACTCAATCTCTAATCAGCTCTATCCCTTACATATCATAATGTAACCCTAACCAGTTTATTCTATTAAAAGATCAACAAAAATATTCAGTTGACACACTGTCTGCACGTAACCTGAAGGGAATGCAGCTGTGGAAAGCTGGTTCTCTAATAGATTTCAGAACCCAACAACAGAGAAAAGCTGCTTTAAAAACACACCTATAAACAGTAGACGATTCAGTGTAAGAACCGTGACCTGTGCATTGTAATTTAATTGAAAGTTAATTGGAACAGCCCAACATATTTCATTACTCCACTCTTATGCTGCGTTCTCATTAGCCTGCGAAAACACGCCGCTTGGGACGTTTCGCCAGGAGACTAGAGAGAAGTCTGCACCTCAGCGACAGAAATTCCATGCTGATGACGTAAAATCTGCCTGGAATCTGGGCAGGAGTTCTGAAACCCCATGACTATCAGATCCTGTGTACAGCCCACCCCTCCCAGAAAAAATTGGGGAGATCTCTCTCTCCCCGATTTTTTTCTGAGGGGAGGGGGGCTGCCGGATTTATTACATTAATTTACTTCTTCGTCAGTATGGAATTTCTGTCTCTGAGACGCAGACATTCCTTTTGTATAAAAGCTTAACAAAGCAAACTGTATTGCAAAGAAATCTTTAATTACTCATTAAGCAAACGGAGAAACTCATTTGCCTATCTTATTTCACTAGAAACGCGGACTCAATGATAAAAGACTTCTTCCCTTCTTTCCTTTTCGAGATGACGGCTATAAGATTTTGGAAGTCATTGAACAGATGGTGAAGGATTACGTTACAATGTAAGCGAGCACTCTGATGTAATGGATAGAATAAAATGAAAGGATAATCTTTGCCTCAGCTTAGGAGCACTCAATCGAGCAGTTCACCATTCTCCTTCCAGTACAAAAGCAGAGATTTAATATGCGTCTTTGTTTAATTCTCTTTATTTCAATCACTGAAGATAGCAGGCTACTGTTTAGCAGTTGTACTTGGCTTGTCCTCAGTTCTAGACGTAATTCATGCAACGCAGACAAGAAGAAAAATAAAATTTAAGTGTTCTTAAACACGAATTAATCTTGTCTTAAACTTGGGTTTAATAAGTTTAAGTGGACGTTTAAGTTCCTTAAACCCAAATTTTAATTTAACGTAAACCCAGCTTAAAGCAGCTTTAAGGCTAAAGTTTAAGGTAGGTTTAATCAGCTGTTTAATTGTGTGAAACGCCTTGTTTTGGTTGCATTAAATCAAGCTTAAATGTTCTTGAAACGTTTAGTTTAAGCAGGAGCGTACTTTTGAAAAAATGAAATTAATCTATCCCTTTTAAGTCAATCCCTTTCCCTACACAATGAAGACAAGCAGTATTTTCCGCTTTCAACTCACTTTATTTTATTTAATAGAGATGGTTACAATTCTTTTTAAAAAAATACTACAACGAAATTCATCGGCCTTTGAAAATACAAAGAGCACATAATTTTAAGAAAACACTAAAACAGAGATCTAAATATATTTAACACTAATAACGACAGCATAAAGAATTGTAATTGGTAAAACTACCGTCTCCAATACATTTCTTATGGTTCAAAACTGTTCATTTCTTCTGGTAGTACCGGACACCTTTACAAGACAAACACCTCGGTAAGACGGACATCTAGAGTTGGTCCCTGCTTCTCTACTCTCTTTATTCGACAGACAGCTAGTTAGTAATGCCAGTCCCAAAGGTGTCTGTCTTATAGAGAGTTGATTTTATAATTATAAAATAAAGTCCAGACAAAAATGCCTGTTTCTTATATTAAAAAGATATCTAAATCCATTTAAGGAAACACCAACAACAAAAAGCAAATGCCTCATAGGTTTGTTTGGTGGGCTATTAATGTTTGCCAAAGGGCACAAAACTTATGAAATAGCTGAACTGTGGATTGAGTGCAAAAGAGCTAAATGTACATTTATCAATAATGCTACTAAAAAATTTGTAAACAGCAAAAAACTGACATATAATATTTACACAATATGTATTAAATAATTATTATGAGAGCTTGAGAATTTGGAAAAGTTTAAGTGTAATCAATGACTACATCTTGCAGCTTGTTTTCTACAGTTAACCAAATATCAGTTGAACCTTGATTAATATCTCAAACAAACTTTTTGGTTATCCCATTCTTCTGATCCCAGATTTCTCAAATGAATATTACAAACTCAAGCCTTATTTTCTTTCTTCAAGTCTCTTTCTCTTTGAAAATCAAAGTTAGTACTTATATATGTTGTTCATCATATAAGCTACCCTTTTAAGAAAGCCACAATAGATGGCATTTTTGAAAGTCAACCTCGTAGATATCAATTTTTTTTATCATCCACACTCCTTTTTTTTCATTTAAATATTTATTGCCGCCAGTCTTGCTGAGTCTGTATAAACAAGGTTCCACTCACTGACTTAAATTTTTAATAAATAGCCATATTTTACTAAGGACCAGGTTGCTCAATGCTGGTTTATGCAAAATTTGAGTTGAGATAAGAAAGCCTATTATTGAGCAATGGCCTGTCTCACGGCCCATGATGGACCATCGGGTGCTGGCCTCTTTGATATATCACCTTCAAACCTGGGCTTTGCCAATGCTTTGGCATGAGGGGTGAGGCTTCTATAATGGGCTCTGTCAAGCTTGCTTTTTAAGTTTGTCAGGGCTGTTCTCTCCTAAGAGAGCTTCTTGGTTAAAAAAAAAAAAACAAACAAAAAAACAATGAATCAGTGGTAGTGCATAGTCACCCCTGGCAACTGACTTTTGCTCCTGAGTGACTAGAGAATTTCAGTTTTCTATGGGCACTCTGGATTAAGCACGGACTCTAGACGGTTGACTCCTATTTAGGGTTATGGTTGCTGTTTTATGAATGAAAATCAAACTCTACCTAGTCAGTACTCCATGGTAGAGTGGTTAGGCTACTAGCTATAGATTCTACACCCCAGGATTGGTTCTCAATCTTGCCACACTGATCTTTGTTTTCCTTTTAAAATTTTGCCCTGAATTTTTTCCTTAAAAAATTGAACAGTGGTTGAAGAGACTTACACTTTCATGGGAATTTACTGACCACAAATTTCAAGAGACTTAATCCCGTATGAATAGCAAATATAAGTCGGTGTACAGGTCCTGTATGAATAGCCGCTGGGTAAATGGGGGTTCATGCAAAAAATTGCAACCACTTTTCAAGGACACATTAGATTTTCAAGGACCACCTATTAGTAATGGTAACAGGACTGAGTGGAGTCCAATTTGGTCTGTAATCATACGAGTGATTATAAAAATCGGACGACTGCGTAGCGGGAGTCCGATTTGTTTAATCACAAGTATGATTACAGACCGAATTGGACGACAAGAAGTTCTGTTACCAATTAATCATAACTTCAACAAAATTTGTGTCATAATAGGCTATTTTTTAAATCGAAAGACAAGAAATTCAAAATTTTGTTTTGTTAGCAGTGAAAAAAAAGCCATTTAAGCGCGCGCGTGATGGCGCGTACTGTCCAATTACTTAGGCATGACACGTACTGTCCTATTAAACTGTCCAATTAGGGATGAAATCAGGGCAGTTGATAGCCAATCAGATTTGACAATTTTGTTATAGTTATGATTAGGAATATAATTTCACAGATTCTACGAAAATGCACATTCCCAGTCCATTCTAATAAGTCTTTAAGGCTTGAACTGTTTGCTTCACCAACTTCTTTACATTTTTCAGTTCACTTGTCTTAAATTGATAGTTAATTATTGCATGAAACATTGAGCATTTTGTGTAAATAACCTTTAAATCCTTTGAGCTATGATTCATATTCTGTCTTGGACAACCAAAAAGCATCAAAAAACACTTTCCAGGACACTACATTCACAGTTGAAGAAAATTCAAGGACTTTTCAAGGACTTTCATAGAATTTCAAGGAAAAAATGAAATTCAAGGACTTTTCAAGACTGTGCGAACCCTGCAAATTGAAACAGAAGCATATAACCAATAACCCTGTTTATGGCTTCTGCTTTGAGATCAACCACATCATTGATCATTATCGGTTGCTTCCAACAGCAACTTTCTCCATCGATCTCGTTTTATTCAATTGTGAAATAAATATATGTTCTCACTTCTTAAATACTAAAATTGGGCGCGAAGGGGAATACATTGTGGGTTTGTAGGCTCCTGTGATGTTTTACAACACAGGCATGTCGGCGCCTTTGAAGACACGCTATCACACGGTCAGCTCTAAAACAATAAGCACAAACTCTGATCTCTCGTGATGAGAAGCTTTTCTTATAACATCAAAGCAATAAAATAAGTACGTAAACCTACCTTTAAATCCATAGGAACTTCTACTTTGGATTCTATTCTGTACGTTTACGTTTTGAGCCGCGTTTGGTGTTATTTAGTCTCTCCTGTTTTAAGAGTTCAGTTCGCAACTTGACGTTTTCTTGCTGAAGCGTTGCGTTTTTTTCTTCCAGTTTCTTCTGGCTCGCTAAAAATGAATCCAATCTCCTGTTCGTACTTTCCATAAGCACAAGCTGTCTTTCTTGAAAAGGACTGCATGTAGCCATGATTCGGTTGTAAAAACCAGGGCAAAAGCTCGCGACCAACACCACAACTTTTCGAAGTGAACTGATGAAGACGCTGTCAAAACAGTGATCAAACATTCCGCGTTTGTAGCTGTGGACATTTGATTGGCGTTTTATTGCTGACGTACCTTGTCTGATTTGACATGCGTGGGAGAATATTTTTCGCGCATTCGCGCGCGCGTTCGTTCAAGGAGACGATCAACATGAGTTCGCTTGACTCAGACAATGAAGTTTTTTCTTTCAGTTCAGAAACTCCGGTTTCTGTGTAGGCTGTTAGCAATAAGTGTGATACTTGTGGAAAGTCATTTGCTCATTCATCTTCTTACCGACGACATACCAGAAACCAGTGTGTCCCTCGATCGCGAAAGCGCCGTCGGAAACTTTGGTCGACGACTGGTGGTGAACAATTTAGAAGTGTTTTCAGTTTTCGTTTTAAGCTGGCACCATTTTAATGTTCAATTTTTGTGCACCTTATTCCAAAATGGCAGAAAGTTTTAAGCCAAAGGCCAATACATGTATGCATGGATGGAGAAGGATAATTTCTTGTAAGGGATTGGGGAAAAGAGTGTGTAGCAGACTTAACTAGGCTTAAAAGAGGCTTCAATGGACTTGGAATAAATTCTGGAAAAGATTTAATAATAATAAATAATAAAAGTATTATTATTAAATTATCATTTCAATAATTATGATTTAATATTTTTTTTACCTTTAAATCAATAATATACGACTTAATCTGGTATTAAATTTTTGGCATATCTAAGAAAACTTTAATTTGTCTTATATCTTTCAGTCCGTTTATAATTAATGATATATTTAAGAAGACTTAAATTTGTCTTAAATCTTTCATTCCGTTTAATGACATATTTAAGAAGACTTAAATGTAAGTAAATCCTTACAGTGATTTAGGGATGTTTAAAGTGACCTAAATATATCTTAAATATAAAGCTAGTTTTAATATGCATTTAACTTAAACGTAAACATGACTTAAAATAAACTTTGCTTTTAAGTCATGTTTAATATCCTTAAATCTGACTTAAAACTATCTTCAAATTTAATACTTATTTAATGTTGCTTAAACTGGACCTAAATAAGTTATTTTGCCCAGTGGCAGTATTTTAACGGAGCAATATCACTGTTTTTTAATCCCGTGTTGAAGTCATTTAGTTAGTGCCTCTACCCATCCATAACATGACCTGCAGGGTTATGAGAATTTTATCAGAGAGAACTAATCATGACATTTGCAGGCAATGGCGTAAAACTGACTGGAGAACGTTGGCCAAATTTCTTGAAGTTTGATCCATGTTCATCCTAGCGAACCTTAGCTTGATAGTAAAAGAAGACAGAAGACAGTTTCAGTGCCTATGAGCCTTAAATAATAATAAAATTGGGGCATTATTTTTGGAATTTAAGAAACGCAAAGAAACGTTTTAGACAGCAAATAGCTGTAGACAAAGACCCTGTACTAGCCTCTAACGGGCCACCTTTCAAATACCATATCACTACATTCTTCCAACGAATCATAAAAGGCCACAATTGTCAAGGAGCAGAAATTGAAACCCAGTAAATTAAACAGCCTTAAAGTCGATGAGGTACACAAAAAGCAACAACCGTGGTCAAGCAAGACAAGACAATCTTAAAACTCAAATTGATAATATATAATTTTATATTAGGTATTATGAGGACGACAAAGACGTGAAGGAAGATACGGAACTTCAAGATTACGTCAATGAACTGTCTCTAAACGGAACAGGGCCGAATGGCGGCATTGGCAGGGTAAAGACTATATAAGATACATCAGGGGCAACCAACGACTTTTTTTCCCGTAAAATAACTGTTCGAAGAAGCAGTTATTGCCGAGAAATCTCTTATGGGTAACTCTTCCATTCATATATTAAGCTCTAAAACTCCGAATATCGGATTTTCAGGTTTTTTTCCTAACTTATGCACCGACGATTTTTGGAAGTTAAGTTTTTCACATTATTACTACCAAGTTATTGACTTTGTAACAGTTAATAAAAATGTGCCTGGAAATTTCAGTGTATATATAGGGACAAAACGTCCTCCAGAATTTTCTATACTTTTAATGAAAATACAGCTGTTCCATGTCCTCGAAATTTAGTTTAGGACCAATCAGGGTAGCTAACAGTTTCAAATGAGACGGAAAACCCTGCAAAACTTTACAGACGTTGTCCAAAGTTCCCCTAAGACATCCAAACAGGTAAGTAGTTTTTTGACCAGCTCCAAATAACCCAAAAAGGCTTCTAAAGCAAAAAGAAAATCATTTTAGACACCTCTGACGCATTCGGAAACATTCGGTGGTTTGGTGCCCCTGATATATTCCAAGAAAAGATGAAAAAAGAATTAAAGCGTATTCTCATACCAATGAAAATCATCGAAGGGAAATATTTCATTCTTCATTCTGTTCGAGGGCTTTGCAAAACAGCATGAACGGAGCATTCTTGGCGAAAAATCTCGGACACGGAGAAAAACAGTTCATCAGTCTACCTTAATGTTTACGCAAGAATTTTTTCAGCTGCCGCTGTGTATTAAATTTTACCGATCACTGTGTTTCCCAACGTTAAACAAAGGTATATGGTGAAACATGAGAAACCCAACTTTTCAAAATCTCAGACATTTATTTCTTTGCTTGTTCTTTCCCTTAAAAATCTAAAATCTTCCTCCTGATCAGAGCTTGGTTGTACAGCCAGTTCTGCGAAAGCTAAAAGTGGATGTGGTATCCTACGCCACCGTTTAAACTAAACTCTGGTTAAATTCGTCAGCAGAACAGAGCCGAAATCTTTGTTCTGGGGCCTCACCTGTGTTACCTGAGGGCTTGAGTACGTTCCATGATTGGCCTGTTAAAAAAGGCAATGTCGAAATACAAATAAGGTTGAAGGGAAATTCTAAACTCACTTCCGGTAATTCGTTGAATCCGTTGGGAGCCCAGAACAAGGATATCGAGGCCGCTTCGCAGACGTTACTAACCGGGATTAGATAACGTCTACGACGCAAGCTAGGGGTGTGGCAAATCAGAGGAAAAACAGTGTGTTAAGGCAAAGAATTTGGACATGGGAGAGGGTGAATTCAGTCAAAAACATTAGACTGAAAGACTGAGTCTCGGGCAGACAGTGTTGGAGCTGCTTAGAGTATTCAGTGATTTAACAGCAATTCTGTCACTCAACTGAGTGAAGAGCCTACTACTGACAATTAGAACATTTCAGACTGCACTAATAAAGGTATCCACTTGTGTTCTTGTGTTATGATTTTAAACAGATTCAAGGTTTCCCTAAAAGCATCGGTAGCAGGAGGGAGCTTTGCGAAATTCTAAGTCGCTTTCTCTCCCACGTGACGATATACCACGCTGCAGTTAATTACGTAGTAGTTGACTATGGACAATACATTCCAAACCAACCGACCAAGCTTTACAACGACTCCAGGGTAGAAATGGGAGAATTTTCAGTTTACCGCCTACCAAACAGGCTGACAACCGCGGTAAGTGGGATTCTTCTTGCAAAAAATTGTTATTTTGATTCATTATTTTAACATCGAAAGGTGGCTTGACAAAAAACTCACTCTATTTGAGCATCAATGAATGTATTTAGCGCGAAAGTACTATTTGGGGACACTATTTTCTACGTTTCCAACTGGAGATGCGACCGCCATCTTACATGATCATCCCAGGAATTCAAAGGGAGTACCTTTAATTTATTTTTAAGACCCAGAGTATCGGTCCGGCCCCGGGAATCGAACCCATGACCTCCATTATGCAGTCAAGCGCTCTACCGACGTAACTAATCCCGCTGCTGTTAAAAAAACAGAAAGAGCGAAAAATCTTTGTGTCAAAGTTATAATTTGCATACCTTAATAGCTGTTATAGTGACTTCTCGGTAGTTGTAGTTAATAAAAGTTCATCACCAAAACCTGTGCTATCAAAGTTTTGCATTGATTCGAATTTCATGCTCAGTCCCTTCTTTGGATCATCGCCTTCTATATTTACTGTATTCCAGAACAGACCATGATGACATTGTTAGTGCAAGTTTAAATTATCAATGTTTTTGGAAATTTCAGATCCATTCCAGTGCTTTCAATACGCTTGGAATATTCCGCCTCGACCGCTTGTTTGACTACGGCAACTTCCTTGAGGATACCAACGCTGTCAATCTTATTAACCGTTACTATAGTAAGCTAATGCAAGTTGTCCAGCCTAAATTGCAAAGTCTAAACCGGAAAAGGAAGGATCGCGGAGATCTGACCTACCCTTATTTTATTCCCAAGTGGTTGCCGAACGGAATTCAGACATAATCCACACATTTTTGCAGTTTTGACATCATTAAATGCACATTCATACAGTTTTATAATTAAATGGCCAATGTAATACTCATAGCGCATATTTTGAGACACAGCACGTAAATTATAATCCTTACTTGTTGCAGAAGGGTTTACTCTTTAAGAAATTCCATTTAGACTGCATGGAATATTGTGTGTTGTTAATGTGCTTAACATAAAGAGATCGCACGACTTGTACCGCACTAGTGATGCTATATAAACTTGAAATTAAAGAGCAATTAAAAAAATGATTCCCTTCTTTTTAACAAGCCTAATGACAAGGAGTATAATTGTCACGAGTGTTTACGACCTGAAGGCGGTTACAGTAGACAGATGGTAAATCTACAAATAGGTGGTGGTGGAGTTCTTTGTTTCCCGTTTGTTCAGGTTCACATTCTTAAAATTCACACTCGGCTTTGAAACTGGGGAGTATAAATCACGAAAAAGCGTTGAAGATTCGAGGATGAATAGCGCTTCATAATTACAAAAGGAGTTTACCAGCTACGTATAGACACTCTCAAGGGTGGCAGCTGCACTAGTGTTAAAGTGGCTTTCTTCGGTGGTGTCGACGTTTACCCGTCGATTCTCCCACGAGCCGTTTCGCTATCGCCTCACGAGCGCTGCGCTTCATCCTTGGTATAATTTTATTTTCCTTCGTTTCAAAGTCATTAATATTCATTCCCATACCCAGAAACAAAGGAGAATAAAATTTAAACCAAAGATAAAATTAAAACACAACTGTTATATACTTCGTTTTCTCAGCCATAATACAAAAGACTGCGATACGCATCTACATAGTCCCCTTTCTTTCTGCTGCTGATCAGGCGACACAGTTACGTTAGAGAACTGACCTCGCGAAACGGCTTAAGAAGTTGGCGAACAGGACGTTGGCGAAACGACCGTGTCGACTGGTTTCCGCCAACTGGTTCATATCTGTCAGGCTCGAGTCAATTGTTTGCACATACCCTAGTGGTACTGTGCTCTAGGCAACGTTGGTCGCCCTTTGTGGAATTCCACCGCTTACCATATTTATTCAATTAACCGCCTTGGGCGCCTATTCAATTTTTGGACCTTGAGAGAAGGCGCTTATTGAATTTTTACCATTTTCAGCAAGTGTAGAATGGTTTATTTTGCAACAAAGCAACCAATGTGCGGTAATGACAAAACACGAAGATGTAACAACGCAAGGTTTCTGTAAAAAACTCGGCCGTCTTTGGGAAAGTCTCTTACTATTTTGTACTTATTCAATTTCAAGTTCAATCTCATTGTCACTCAAGTCAATAAGTGAGTTCTCTGGTGCTATCTCCGCGATGTCGGGCATCGTAACGTCGGCAAATAGGTTAGTCGCCCAAAAAGCAGATACAGCTTATTTGCGTTTGAGTGGGAGGGGCAGGAGGGTGAGGTGGGGTGGGTGCTTATTCGAGGCTGCGCCCGTAGTAACTTTTTCTGCCTTTAGGATGAGTGTTTATTCGAGCTGGGCGCTAATTCGAGGTTGGGCGCTTATTCGAATAAATACGGAACCTTATTTCCTTCATTATTCATTCATTAAGTGAAGAGTAATTTAAAACCGTCAGTCCCATAGAAATTGCTTGGAAAAGAAACGTCTTTTGAATTCATTGATCTCTTACTTTTCTGTCAATTTGCCTTGTAGCTATAAGCGTTGAAAAGTGAGTAATGTTTTCGAGGATTGCGTTGAAATTTAAAGGGCCACTGTCAGTTTCATGGTAGTGTAGTCTTTTGTTAAGTATACCCAAGGTGCCCTTTTCTCGCTATGCAAGTTAAAGAGTGTGAATAACAAAAATCATCACTTCCTGATTAACAAATATGAGCGTTAAGTTTGAAGCTAAAAATCATAGAGATGAACTTTGGAAAACCGTTATTAAAAAAGCTGTGTTTTAAAACATGAATGTAAAATCATCTCAATTCGGTTTAAGAAACATGGATACTTAATTGGGTGCATAGCCCCATAGATTTATTATGTATAGATGTTTCGACTCCATTCGTGAACAATTTGTATGAAACAATATGAGATTGTTGCACGCATAAATAATAAATATATGGGACTTACAGCAAGGTTGCTCACTATTTCAGCTATTTGAAATATTTGAATACATGTGCTGTTGAATAAATTTCTCGATTATTTTGAAAATTGCAATCACTTTATTTTTGATCCAAATACTCATCAAAAACCAAGGTGAATTTTGAAGTAGTACGTGAATATATTTCTCTGTTCAAAATTGGTTTTTAATAAATGCACAAAGGGGTCAGAGTGCCTTATAAATACCATTTAAAGCTGATGAAAATCCGGGATGGAAATAGGCTTTTAACTACCTACTCATGCAGAAAAAGCGACACCTTATAACGTAATGTTTTAATGTACGAGCGGGAGGGTTTTATCGGGGTATAAAGCCCATTTTCATTTTAAGGAAATCAAATCCCACACGTGTTTAGAATTTTTCCAGTCTACGAACGCCACTAACTGAAGAGGACATGGCGTCTTGTTCCAGAGCTTTTCGGAAGCCTAAAAATGCTGAAGAAGAGAGGAAGTTAATTGCAACGGTACCCCAAAGTCAACTATTCCACTGAAAAAGTATTCTTTGAAAACAATTTTCTGGAATGGCCGAATGGTAGATAAACAAAAATCCAGTACTCGCGCCTTGCTTACTGTCACAACTGGCAAGTCTTGGGTGCAACGCTTGGACACTGCTATAGCCAATATTACGGCTGTGTCACTGAACTTTTGGCTGATATTAAATTGGTTACTGTGAGTGTTATTTTGAAAGAACATGAAATATTCACCCACCATTTGTTGAGTCAGTTGCTGCGCTGACAATTAATATTCATAGGTCACCTGAAATGAAATAAAATGTCATCCTTCAACAGCAAGTGGTAACGTTGCGAGTTATATGCGCGAGCCGCTGGACGGAAGTTTGTGGTGGTACTGGATCGCAGCGAATGCAGCAAAGAAAAATGGCGCCTGTTTTGAAAATTACCATCGTCTTAGTTATCTGTTCTATCTATGTAGAGTACAGAAAAGACAAAGTCTTCTGTGCAATATGCGAGATTTGTCTCAAGCCTAATAAGTCGCAGATAATTCACAGTTTTGAAGGGTTTTTGGTCCATGAGTGATCATTGTTTCGTGTTTTGGCTTTCGCGGGGACACGTCAAGCTTCGATGGGGTGCTGTGTAACAGCTGCAAAACTCCTCTATTACAATACTGGATAGCTGGGGGAAAATCTCTTCATGTAAGTTGCGACCGAGTACAAAACGTCCGACGCTTAAGATTTGAATAAAACGATGGGAAACAAAATTCTAAATGTTTGTCTGTTTATATCCATAATTGCAGTTCTTGCGACAATATACTTGCAACAATACGATTTCACGTTAGTTGTGGTTCAGGAACGCCATGTTGCCCAGAGATGTGCAGCCTTAGTGCAGTGATTCTGCCAGTGATCATACTTTTCAGAGATACTCATTCTAACCACCAGTGTCCAGACCAACCCCCGTGCAGTGCCCTAGTTCTGCGACTGATAAAATTCCATGGATATCCCACCCAGGGCTATGAAATTGTATGTTTCCATTTTTGACTAGATGATATAAAACTAAAGACCCAAACTCTAGAAATAACATCTGTTAAATGTATGTGATGCCTTATTCAGTACTTATTCAGGGGTGTAGGCAGAATCTTGTAATATGGAGGCTCTTGACTCCAAGATGCCCCCTATACTTCTAGAATAAAGAATTAGATGAGCCAAAACAGGAGTGCATGACGAGCTTTGAAGCGCGAAAAAATTTTATGCAAATTAGCTGGCTGCACATTCAATGTGCAGCCAGCTAATTTGCATAAGTAATTCAAAACCAAGGTCTGACAGCTCTAGGCTCTTGAGGTGTTAGCTGAATACCCTAGGACTTCCGTAAATTGCCCACAAAAGAGTAACTCAAGCTACCATAAACTGAAATGAAAGTAACCGCAATATCCGATTAAAGCAAGGTTTAAATCTTTTTCTGCTCGGCTAACCCTCTTCCGAGACACTAATTACTATTTTGGTAATAATAAAACGCCATAAACATTTTACATTGCGCCTTTTTCAGTCTCGGGCAGTAAGTTATAGTATGAAATGGAGGTAAACTCAAGAATTCAGTTTTGTGACTGCCCTGCTACTTTGAAACTATTTAAGCCGCTTCCTAAAAGGCCGGGAAAATGTTTTTCGTATACGCTACCCAGGATACTACACGAATGATTAGAGCATTTTTACGAGTTAACTGTAGATTTCAGGTATACACTACCCAGGATACTACAGGAATGATTAGAGCATTTTTGCAAGTTAACTGTAGATTTCAGGTATACGCTACCCAGGATACTACAGCATCAATTAGAGCATTTTTACGAGGTAACTGTAGATTTCAGGTATACGATACCCAGGATACTACAGGAATGATTAGAGCATTTTTACGAGTTAACTGTAGATTTCAGGTATACGCTACCCAGGATACTACAGGAATGATTAGAGCATTTTTACGAGTTAACTGTAGATTTCAGGTATACACTACCCAGGATACTACAGGAATGATTAAAGCATTTTTGCAAGTTAACTGTAGATTTCAGGTATACGCTACCCAGGATACTACAGGAATGATTAAAGCATTTTTGCAAGTTAACTGTAGATTTCAGGTATACGCTACCCAGGATACTACAGGAATGATTAGAGCATTTTTACGAGTTAACTGTAGATTTCAGGTATACACTACCCAGGATACTACAGCATTGATTAGAGCATTTTTTGAGTTAACTGTAGATTTCAGGTATAAACTACCCAGGATATCTGCAACGCAGATAACAAAAGCTCAGGAAACAAGGGGACCCTGCATGACCCAGCGAGGCTGCTTGTCTGCGAAATTTTTTTGAGAAAAGAGCTGACTCTCTCGAGTGTTGAACTAGAACAGAATAATCCAGAATTATAATTTTAAACATCAAT